TAACCCATTTTGGCATCCATCTTGCATGTGCCCACATGCAGCCAGCCCTCGCACAGCACAGCTGACTCCCCGGCGTCTTTTCACTTCCTGCGAGGGCAGGCGGAGGTCGGCACATCTACGCAACCGCTTCGCCTCGCCGCCAGCCCAAACCCCCACCCCATGGCCCCCGCCAATGGCTGCCGGCGCCCCCACTCGGCACGCAGCTGCGGAGCGACAGCCTTCGCCAGCGAACAACCGCTCTCTAGACAGCGTTTAGAAACAAACACACGCGCGTGTTAAAAAAAAAGAAAAGAAATAGAAGAGGGTTTCAGCACTGAAGAAAGGCTGTTTGTGTAAAAGGAGAAAGAAGGTTAAAAAAAAGCAAACAGTACATGATTTGAAAACGCTGTATGAAAAACAGCCATTAAACTAGAACCTCTCCATAATCCCGGAGGTAAGCAGAATCTCTTTTATTTCTTAGATAACAGTAAAAATAGTGTAGAAGGACAAGTAAGGGCCGTTTGAGGATCGATTTAAGAAGAGCCAACGTAACAGAAGCGTGGGGAACGGGCAGCTTTGAAAGGCATCTCGAACCCACCGTGACAACTGTCACCATAGCACCACGCAGGCTGCTGTGAACAAAACTAACTTTAGAGCAGCACAAACCAGCACACAGCCAGAACCAGGCAAATCGCTGTTAATTTCTGTTTAGAGAAGCATTTTCCAGTTAGGCTAAATAAACTTTATATTTATACAACAGCAATCCGGAGGGTTTCCACTGACCATTTCTGATGCACAGTATGGAGCAGGCAGGATGCGACCCTGCAGTTTCACTTTCAAAGCCTGGTCAAGCCCAGTGTGGGGCAGCCCCGGCTGGAGACAAACCAACCCCAAGGAGAAGCCACCAGCCCATCGAGCAAAGTCTGCCAGGCACGAGTTGTTCAGCCTGGAGAAAAGGAGGCTGAGGGGAGACGTTATGAAACTCTACAACTCCCTGAAAGGAGGTTGCAGTGAGGTGGAGTCGGTCTCTTCTCCCAAGTAACAAGGGACAGAACAAGAGGAAATGGCCTCAGGCTGCACCAGGGGAGGTTTAGATTGGGTATCAGGAAACTAATTTCTTCACCAAAAGGGTTGTTAAGCAACAGGCTGCCCAGGGAAGTGGTGGAGTCACTACCCCTGGAGGGACTTAAAAGACGGGTAGATGAGGTGGTTGGTGACATGGTTTAGTAGGTGGACCTGACATCACTGGGTTAACGGTTGGATTTGATCCTAAAGGTCTATTCCAACCTAAATGATTCCATGATTAGTAGACTGGGACTTGACATTTTCACGATTTCCTATGTCAGAATAATCATTTAAAATCAAGGCTGACAGTCTAAACAGAAGCATTTACAGCCTGGGCCACAAAATTCAAGTCTCCTTTCACCCTGATCAGTCGTGTTGGAAGCCAGTCTTGTCCCTGACCAGCAAGTCAGTAACAACAAAACAATCCCAGGCTGGTGCAACTGGGTGGTTATAGCATGACTGCGCGTGGTGCCAAACACGTGGAGCTGACTTCAACCAACAGAGCTTTCCCTGTCCTGGGGAGACATGCATTAGAGAGGAGCAGCACGTCCAGTGGGACCGATGGGCTTGTCTAACTGGATCCCAAAGGTCTGAAAACAAGTCTGCAACACACACACAGATTTCAGGCTTGGGACATCCACCCCATGATCCCCAGCAAGAAAAAGTGATACAGAATTCATGACATACGTGCCAGAATGAAAACAACGTCCGATGCCACCACATTGTCCTCTAAAAATGCAAATATTATCTAACAATTATTAATGAGCCCAACCAGTATTTTTCCTTCGTTCCTATTTAATCATATTCCCATGCATGTGTGCACAATGCATGAACTGGGAAAGCCATCCCAAACCCCTGGTAAATCACTATAGAAATTAAAAAAGCTAAAGGATGCACAAGCCTATGCAACATTTTCCACCATTAAATTAATCTGAACCAGAATTCAGAGAGATTTTCACCACGCTCATTAAAAAAAAAAAAAATTGAAAAAACCATCCTGGGATAGCCTAGAAATACAGCTGTGGTATTCATCTTACCATTGGCATTATTCAGACATTAAAACCTGACAATTCACTGAAATAATTAAAAGTTAATAAATGTTATATTTTAGTGCCAATTAACCCATAGGAGCCTGTCTTTAGAAGTGCTAAAAATCAAAAGTCATGCCATCCCCAGTGTAAACCTATTTCATCCTACCTATCTAGATGATCACTACCATCAGTTATTAATCAATACCACAGGCTGTACCACTTTCACTATGCTGGATCTTCAACTACTGCAGTTATAGCACCAGAAACACAAACACTAAAACTAAGTTTAGGATTATGTTTAATTACAAAGCAGTGCTTTAGCTGGGACGCCTAACTACCTACCATGTACTCTTCTCTGGGGTTATATTTGATCATCGCTTTTTTCTTTTTTTTAAGGTTATTTTTTAGCATGTAAAGAAGCATGTTGCAATATTTGCTTCTATATTTATTTTGGGGCAAGATGCACAGTCTAATCAGTCCCTGAACTTTACTCATCATTTTCCACACCAGTGGAGCCTGACCTAATGAAGGAAGAACACACGAAACAAGGTATCTTCATCTCGTTATAACCAAATGCTACCAGAAACCGCACTAAACAAGGCTTCAAGAACAGTTGCAAAAGGAGAGGAACCCGACTCTTCTGCTTCTCCACAAAACCGTTCTCATGCTCTTCCGCTTCCTTTTTTTTTTTCAAACCTTCACTCTACAGGTCAAATTCTAACCTCAAGGCAGTGGGGACTTCCGTGGAAGGAGAAATAGGCACTAAAGCAGCTTCCTCCACCTAAGGGGATGCCACTGTTTAAAAACAAAAGGGGGGAAGAGGAGTTCAGAACTCTGCTTAAAGCAGTTACACCAGCACAAAATACGCATGCAGGACAGGCCCAGGTTTGCTTTGTTTGTTCGATGACAGCTCCATGACACACTAGTCAGGTCCACCTTTTGCAAAGAAGCCCAAGAGCACGGACCCCACACTGCTCGTCTCCACGCAGCTGCAGCACCCAACCTGCAGCAGTCAGCATTATTCCCCCCATCATCTCTGACAACTCATCCATTTTAAACCAAGAAAGACTCCATTATTCTCAAAGCCTCAAATTCTAGGCTCGGCAATGTCTGCTTTCAGTCGTGGTGAGGGACAGACCACCACCAACCCTGCTCGTCGGGCTGTAAAAGAAAATCTGAAAATTGGGCCCAAATACCCAAAGGTAAACTTGCTTTTCAATTCTCACAAAAACCTTCTGACCTCTTCCTTTTTTCCTCCTTGCCCCCAACCCCAAGAATTTCAGGCCTGACATATGGAGTGCTGAACATTTAAACTAGTTACACAGCAAGAACACATTACAAAACACTGAGGACTGTTTTTTCCCTAGTATTTTACGTACTTTCCTAATGAAACGTTAGAACTTCTAGACATTTGTTTTGCAGGGGCAAAGTTTGTTCCTCTGCAGGGTTTTTTTCTAGGTATTTAGGTTCTGATGAGCATTCTATGTGCTCTAGACAGCTGGCAATTTTGTTCAAGTGGAAAAAAACCCATAGATTTTGAATGAGAACTAATAAAAAAAAAAGAGGAAAACTTCAGAAGGACAAGTACCAAGCATAACAAGGTCCTTTAAAAAGATATTGAAGTATCAAGAGACGATTAAAATTTTTTACAGCTTGTCTTGTTGATAAAGTTTGAAGACTGTGTATTCAAATAAGGCTTAAACTCTTACACACTGAGCACTAATATAATGATCCACAGAGATTTACACTGAGGTCTCCCATTGGTGGTTATAGGAACAAAGGTCAGAAGCACACTTATTTAAGGTTAACTACTTACTTACCTAAACCAATCTGATCTTTTCACTGTAAAATCTGAGAAATCAGACACAGTTCTACCTAGAATCCAATTGAATTATGAAAAATCCGAAGTAAACCTGATTAAGGGTAGATGCCAAACAGAGAGAAATCCACGCACCGCCCTGCTGTAGCCTGCGGGTGGTTTCTCCTCCTAAGATTAATCAACTATATGAGCTGCAGATGCCACATTTTTTTAAATTAACGGTTAGTATTGCTACCTCGTTAACATCCGAGGAATTTCAAACGAATAGAAAATAGGTAAATAATAAGATTCCGCGTACGCTGGTATCTGTGCAGCGCATACGGAATCGAGCCCAACACCACCCGCTCTGCAGGCTCGGAAAGATCTGCAGCGTCACACCAGCGACTTCACCTACCGAAATAATTCATTCTTCTGCAACGCCTGCAGCTCCCCACTTTAACCTAGAGCTTTTGGCTTTTTCCTTTTTTAACAGTTCTGCATACGGCATATACAGACCATGCAAATTCAGATACATTTCAGGATTGGCTAAAAACAACCCCCGCAGCACCTTAAAAAAAA